AAAAAAAAAAAAAAAGTAAAAGTAAAAACTTGCACGAATGTCAGCTCGTATAAACAGTTAATATACGTGCGCCATATTAACAACCTTCGAATTCTAAAAACAGTCCCTTGCTTCAATAAAGAGAATTACAGTGAGGCTTCCCATCGCAAAATTATACTCGAATATCAAAAACTTGCATTAAAATCTCCAAAAAATTTCGGCATCTGACTTTTATTTTCGATTTTTACGGTGATAAAGCTGACTTTACAAGCCCGATCTTTGAACCTTTTTATTCAAAGGTCACTGATTTTTACTTAAATACGTACGCTAGATTTACACCCCGAGTAATCCCGCAAAATTTTAGCTGTTAATCTAACTTTCTTAGCCTCCTGGACGCAGCCCACGTATCTCTTCCTCACATTTAGGAGGCTATTCAGGCGCACAATGAAGCCTTTCTGAAACACCAGAAGTAAAATAATAAAAAGTTTTTAGGCGTTCAAACGGGTGAAGCGAAATGCTCCAACAGACCCTGCATCCAAAAAAATTACAAAATAGAAAAAAAATGCGGCTTTTGTTTGTATTATATGAATATGACCAACTACAAGTGTTTTAAGAACAAAAACTTCTGTAACATGAGTGCCATAAACTTTGATCTTTTCATCTCGAGGAATACTCATTCGTCTGAGCAAATCCGCCGAGATTTAGACAAATTTTCTGACAACGAGACTAAAAAAAGCAACGTCCAAATCAGTAGGCTTTTTATTATGTATTTTTTCTTTCGATCTTCTAAGATCAGTTTCAAATAATTACAAGTTCAAGTCAAAGACAACTGCTGAAGCAATTACAACTGGTTATCTTCACTTGATACAGATACATGACAAGCACCTTCCCTCATACATGTATATTTTTCTGACTAAGTTGGAAGAAACTCATAAAGGTAATATTTCTTTGGAAAGAATAAATTTTGCTTATCATGAAGATTAAAGACCCATACTTGAACTTTCTCATATGTAAATTTCTATGAGTTTGAGGAAAAAGAATATAAGAAGCGAAAACTTAGCCTTTAATAATAAAATGGCGCTAAAAAAGCAGAAAAAAAAAAAGAAAAAAACTGTTTTACGTCTTACAAATCTGTGTTTGAATCATCAAATATCAACAATATTTTATGGCGTGGCTGGTTCAGATACCAAAATGATTTCTGGACTAAGGAAAAACACTGAATAGTCGGACTTTGACTAGATTTGAAGAGAAAAGCGTAATGGAAGTTTGCCAACAACAACAGCAGGTCTCAGAGCAACAAAATGAAAAGAACGAATTATTCATAAAAATGCATATATAGACGAAATGAAATTGGCTATATATAGCTTTTTTGCTGGGTGGTTATACAAGCCGCTACCGTTCTGCTTCTGCATGCTTTTTCAGCAGTTTTTTGTTCGCCATGAATAGTTTATTTGGCACTGATACGGTGACCACTTTACTGCCTGATAGTGGATGTTTATTTAATTTTATACATCTCATATGAATTTGTACGCATATTCAAAACAGATGGCCGTTTAAATCACTCCTAGAATAATATGATCTTATGGAAAGAATCGATTGGTCTTA